TTGGGCAGGGACACCACTCCTACCCTCTGGCTAATAGGACTCCATGGACCCAACCTCCATGACTTGATCTCACTTCCCTTTAAACTCTGTTCTAGTTCTAGCCTTCACAGCCTCCTGCAGCAAGGAGTTCCACAGGTTGACTCTTTGCTTTGTGAAGAACAACTTTCTGTTACTAGTTTGAAGCCTGCTACCCATTCCTTTCCTTTGGTGTCCTCTAGTCCTTCTTTATGGGAACTAATGAAGAACTTTTCTGTATGCACCCTCTCCACCCAACTCCTGCTTTTAGAGACCTCTATCCTGTCCCCCCTCCATCTCCTCTTTTCTAAGCTGAAAAGTCCCAGTCTCTTTAGCCTCTCTTCATATGGGACCTGTTCCCAACCCCTGATCATTTTAGTTGCCCTCCCCTCTCCCAGCCTCTCTCTTCCCCTCTCCCACCTCCTTTTCCCAGTCTCCCCCAGTTTTGTTCAATAAAGACAGATTCCATTTTTGAACACAATTGTCCTTTATTTTGTACATCAAGAAGAGGGGCTAGGGAAGGGTAAGTGGAAGGAGGTGAGGGAGGAATGGGGTATGCACCCCCAATGGGGAGGACTGGGCTGGCTCTGCGGGCTTCTGGGGATGGAAGCTCTCCTGCAGCCCCCCAATTGCCCCCTCTCCCCAGATGGCAGCCTGCGGCAAGTGCAGCCGGTCTGATGGCCGAGTGCTGTGATGTGCCCAGTGTGGGTACTCCGGGCAATCCTAGCCAGGACTGCTTTGCAAGCGGGGCACCCCTGAGAACTGTCTGTCCGGGGTGGGGGTCGGGACGCTTTAAGCACAGCCCTCGGCTAGCCTGAGACAGCATCTCCACGCTCTAAGTCTTCCTCTGATGCCCTGCCGGCACTGCTTCCGGCCATCCTTAAGCCTGGTTCAGGGTCCACTTAATGTGGACATGCTAATTCGAATTAGCAAAACGCTAATTTGAACTAGTTTTTTAGTCTGGATCCGTTAGTTCGAATTAGCTTAGTTCAAATTAACTAATTCGAACTAAGTTAGTTCGAATTAACGTTGTAGTGTAGACGTACCCTGAGTAACTATATGATCTTGACCTTGATTAGCTGGTGATCATATATAAACTTCCTGTTTCCTTTCTGGATTTGTCTAAGCAATAGGCTATTGGCACCTAGTTGCTTCTTGGACTGTGCTTGACCCGGCCTTGCTGCCTCATCTGATTCCTTCATCTACCTCGCATGGATTGGAACTTGGACCTTTTACATCAACTCTAATCTGGAATACACTTTGACCTGCTTGGGCACTGGCCGTGTGTTAGATCATCCCTGACAGGTGTTTGTCTAACCTGCTCTTAAAAAAGTCTACAGTGATGGAGATTCCATCAGCCTCTCTGGCTGTGTCTACATTGGCCCCTATTCCATAATAGGGATGCCAATGTAGCACTTTGGAATAGGCAAATCCGCGGGGGATATTTGCATTTTCATGGCTGCCACTTTTTTCCAGCTTGTAGATAAGCCAGAGAAAAGCGCCAGTCTGGACGCGATCCTCCAGAAAATAAGCTCTTTTCCGGAGGATCTCTTGAGAGTGAAAGTAGGAATAAGAGATCCTCCGGAAAAGAGCTTATTTTCCAGAGGATTGCGTCCAGACTGGCGCTTTTCTCCGGCTTATCTACAAGCCGGAAAAAAGCGGCAGCCATGAAAATGCAAATCCCATGGGGGATATTTAAATCCCCCACGGATTTGCCTATTCCCAAGTGCTACATTAGCATCCCTATTACAGAATAGGGGCCAATATAGACGTAGCCTCTAGGTTTAATCATCCTGAAATGTAGGAAGTTTTTCCTATTGTCCAACTTAAATTTCGATGTTGAAATTTAAGCCATTGCTTCTCATCCTATTATCAAAAGTTACGGAGAAGAATTTTTCTGTCTCCTCCTTGTAACAACCTTTTAGGTATTTGAAAGCTGTAATCATGTTCCCTCTCAGTCTTCCCTTTTCCAGACTAAACAAATCCAGTTCTTTAAATCTTCCCTCATAGGTCACATTTTCTAGACCTTTAATCATTTTTGTAGCTCTTCTCTGGACTTTTTCCAATTCTCCACTTCTTTTCTGAAATATGTGATGCCCAGAATTTGACACAATACTCCTTTTTAGGCCTAATCACCACAGAGTAGAGCAGAAGAATTACTTCTCATGCCTTGTTTACAACACTTCTGCTATTTCAATAGCTTTGAGGTTCTGGGCCTCTCTCCCAGAAAGTTCTACTTGCCAAAAATCATAATGGTCACTATAAAGTTCTGAGTTGGAGATCCGATAATCCATTATCCAGTATTGACAGGGGACTATCAACTTTTTTTTTCTTTTTCTTTTCTTCCCTAGCCGAAGTCCTTTGCAATATTGGTACTATTAAGTCACAAAATTGCCTAATAGAAAAAATATTTAATGATATTTTGAGGTTTCCTAAAATGCATACAAAATATTTTTAAAACACTCTGAAACATTTCCATAAAATGTGAGCAGAATATATGCAGGTAAAGCATGATGCTGGCATTTGTTTAGAGTGGCCTACATAATTTACTAATGGGCTTAATGTCCAAACTTGTGCCAGTAAAATTTCTATGCCACCTGATTCTATCATGTAGTCTATTTATATCTTCTGTGAAGTGGGATGAAAGTTTGGATTAGAATAGAACTCTGTATCAGGGAAAACAGAAGTCAAATTAATTATTTTTTATCGAAAATCTGTCAGCTGTTTGATTGGTATTTTGCAGCTAGTATGAGCATGCTACCTCCCCACTTCTCTTGTGGAAAAGGATTGTGGAGTTTATTCTCTGTTTTACTATACACTGGCCAATAATGAAAGGAGCTCAACAAACAGCAAACTAAAGCCCTAAGTGTGGTGCCTAAAACCGTGGGCTGCTATGAGCCTCTGTGTCAAGAAGAATCCGCCAGGAAGCACAGGACTCACCAAGTTTTCATAGGAGCTTTGTCACAGTAGGAATTACAGAACTATATACTGCTTTGTGTCTTACTGAACATTTCAATGTGCAGGGTTTCAAATGACCTACTTGTAAAAGACTTCCAATTTGTATTTAAGTGGCTTTATTGAAATGGCTTCCTTTTTTCCAATGTGGAAGCTATTTGTCTATTAAAGACATTTCTGTCATCACTCCTGAAAAGCAGATCTGTGTATGGTAAATATTACAGAAACAATTAGCCCCCCCCATGACAACATACATGCCTTTTATGTTTTACATCCTCTCCAATCAAACTGATACCACTTTTCTTGAAAAATGGAAAACATTCATCCTTTGCAGCATGTATAAAAAAGTTTGTTAGGTTCACTGTGAGAATTCTTACAATATGGATAGTGGGCCAGGCACTGAAGTCTTTCAGGGCCTGATCCTCATTCATGCTAAGGCCCTTTATACTATTCCGTCATGTTAAAGGTGCCTCCCATCCAGTTTAAGCTCCATTTACACTGACAGAATGATTTATACCCACCTAAAATCTCCCTTTGAATGACACAGTGGTGTGAATGCACTTTAGTTAAAATGAGCTTAAAGTTTATCATTTAATGATTCATTTAACCTGTGTTACCAATAACCTGGATCAAGCAACTGCAATGATTGCATTTGTTTAGACATGCAACATGGAGGATTGGGCCAAAAGAAATCTGATGAGGTTCAACAAGGAAAAGTGCAGAGTCCTACACTTAGGATGAAAGAATCCCAAGCATTATTACAGGCTGGGGACTGACTGGCTAAGCAGTAGTTCTGCAGGAAAGGGCCCAGGGATTAGAGTAGATGAGAAGTTGGCTATGAGTCAAAAGTGTGACCTTGCTGCAAAAAGACTAACGGCACAGTAGGAGCACTGCCAACAGATTGAAGGAAATGATTATTCCCCTCTCTTCAGCACTGGTGAGGCTATATCTGGAGTACTGAATTCAGCTTTGGGTCCCCACTACAGAAAGAATCTTGCCAAATTGGAGAGTCCAGTGGAGGACAACAAAAATTATTAGGGGACTGGAGCACATGACATATGAAGAGAAACTGAGGGAATTGAGCTTATTTTGTCTGAAGAGAATAATGAGGGGGAATATGATAATACCCTTGAACTACCTGAAGGGGGATTCCAAAGAGGAAGGAGCCAGGCTATTCTCAGAGGTGGCAGATGACAGAACAAGAAGCAATGGTCTCAAGTTGCAGTGCGGGAGATCTAGGTTGGATATTAGGAAAAACTCTTTCACTAGGAGGCTGGTGAAGCACTGGAATGGGTTACCTAAGGAGGTGGTGGAATCTCCATCCTTAGAAGTTTTCAAAGTCCAAATTTGACAAAGCCATGGCTGTCATATGGAATAATTTAGTTGGGATTGGTCCTGCTTTGAGAAGGGGGTTGGACCAGATGACCTCCTGAGGTCTCTTCCAACCCTAATCTTCTATGATTCTTCTCTGGTGAATGAGTCCATGAATGCTACACAGGGAATGAGTCCATGGAAGCTACACAGGGAAACCTTATAACTAAGAAACTACTGGAGGATTGCTGACATGATCCTTCCCAGAGATAGCTGCATTTCACCAGTGGGTGAATTATATATTTTTATTACTATATATAATTATTTATTGACCAATTGGTTACATTTTTGTTCTGTACCCTAAGTGATGTGTTATGTGCACACAGTTAAATATTTCAATAAGCAAATTGTATAATTTTATAATAATCATCTAGATTATGTAGAAAAGTTGCAAAACACCTTGGAATTCTTCAGGATATTGTTTTATATTATTTTATCCTTCATATACTGTACTGTTTAAAAGTCTCTGTGTTCTGAACTTTCTTATTCATTTTTCTCTTTTAACAGAAAGAGTTTAACAGTGATTGTAAATTGAAGGAAAGAATAGAAGAAAATGGATACAACACATATGCATCCTTAAATTGGAAACACAATGGAAGACAAATGTTTGTGGCCTTGAATGGAAGAGGTGCTACAAAGAGAGGACAGAAAACAAGGAGGAAAAACACCTCCGCTCACTTTCTTCCAATGGTAGTAATGTCATAGATGGAGGAACTGTTTTATTGATGCAGTTGGACCAAAGGCTCTTTTGTCAAGGATACTTGGTAATCCTCTTGAAGAGAAAAAAGGCAAAGAAACAGTGCAGACGTCTGCTTGTTTGAAAAGGGAGAGAAGCCTTTGAAGGTTTTGTGCTCACTGCTGGCACATGAAGGACTTGTAATTAGTTCTGTGTCATATCTTATAATCAAGATACAAGCTGGATCAAATGGGATGGGAACTATTCCCAGTGTGAATAATGTTTTTTTTTATCTCTGCGACAGAACTTGCAGGACGTGAGACAATCTGTTGAATGATCTTTGGGGAAAGTTATTTATGGAATACTAACTCATATCAAAGACCTTCATTGCTCATTCAAACCTAATGAGCCAATGAACAGACAGACACACAAGCATTTACTGGAAGCACTTGGGTCATATGCACAAATAAAGAAGTTTCTGGAACAGTCTCATGGAAGAATGGATAGGATTAAGAAATATAAGCATATTAGCATTAAACTGTTCTAACATAATGAATAGTATGGTTCCTTGTATATTCTAATTTCATACCTTCTTATTTCTCTCTAAATTATTTATTTAATAGGATGTTAAATATCTTTTTGTTTTTGTTTTAAATGATTTCCTCAGTTGCTTCCTTATTTTTTCCCTTTCTTCAACTTTTCTCTCAGAGGTTGATAGAGTAAACTTTCAAAGCTTCACTGACAGCCTGAGAATAGGAAACATGTCTGTAAGTTAAAGTTAGCATTGCAGTGAATATGTTAAATCTGTTTTCTTCTAAACTGTTTTGCACTTAAGCAAAAACAAAAACAAAAAAACAACAAACAAACTTCAAGAAATACTTTGTCAGGATGGTGTTGTTGCTTGTATGAAAAGGATGGAGAGGGTCAAATCTTTTTCTCAGGTGCGTTCATGTTTGGGATGTGTATGTGTATGCAAGTGAGATCCCACTGGTTTTGTATTTGGAACTAAATGTGGCTTATCTCCACTGATTTGAATGAGATTGTGATATCCCATACATTTAAAGACAAGCCAAATTATCTCATGGAGTTGGAAGCACCTGAAGGCAGAATTTAGCTCCCAAAAAGTGAGTCCAAAAACAGCACACTCCTGCAGCCCTTGCTCAGTTAACCTCCATACTCAAGATGTCCTCATTAACAACTTCAAGTGTCACAGATATATACTGGTGCATTTCCTGAATAAAGAGTCTAGGACAGTCATGATCGTGCATTTATCAAAGACTGCTTCCTCATGTATATAACACAGAGCACCAGCTAAAAACAGCATCACTATTCAGAGTTAAAATATCTTATCCATCACAGTAAATGAAGGTTCAACAAAATACATCAGGCACTTTTAATGAAAGGTCACTATTCCCACATCTTAATTTGAGCAAATACGTTTAATTCTAAAAATAAGTCTGGTCAACCTAAAAGAATGTAAGGTTTGTTTTTTGCTATACTTTTTTCTGTAAATTTAGAGAGCTCTGGATAACTCATCAATGCAACCATATTGAGATTCATTTTGTTAGAGCAGTTAAATAGAAAAAAGTACACCAGCCAACCTGTACCTCTGTCCTCACATTGTATTCCACTAAATAAAAGCCTAAACCTTCTCTGCAGTGTCTGTAGTGAGAAATAAAAGTAGTATAATAATATTTTTTCTAAATACTTTAAGTAATAACTATGAGATTATATTGATGTGCAGTTCTATCTTCAGTATTTCTTGCTGGGAAAAAGTTGGTTTTATTTTTATTGTTTGCAAACTGTATTTTGATACAAAGGAGAGTCTTGCTAATGTGTCTTTTTTACTAAAGTTTTACCTATAGAAAGGCTGTTGTTATTGTGATCTTCTATAACTTATTTGAGTAAATGTTTAACCAGCACTTCCAATGTTAATCTGTTATTTAAGTATTAGCTATGTATTATTAAAAAAAAAAGTCAGCAGCAGTTTTCCCATAACATGTAAAACATACAGACTGGTCAGATTGTATTTCCTATTCCTTAAAAAGTTAGTTATTTTAAAAACAAAAAAGAACATTTAATTGCATGGTATTTGGTTTCCAATCTATTTGTTGATGAATGAGATTTTAAAAAAAATTTAAACAAGAAAACTCCTTCTTAATTTGACAAGTTTTGATATTCAGTCTCAATTACAAATTCTACTGTAGGAATATTTTTTAAAGTAATAATTGCATCTGACAGTGTAGAATGGACCACCCACAACAGAAATTAAATGTTTGGTTGAGCAAGTATAGTATTAAATAACCAAGTTAACAACATCTAAGGTAAAAACTAGGTTCTCATTTCACAGAACCATTTAGATGACTTAGGCGAATGTATATGTAAACATTCATAATTAAAGGATTTCAAAATACTAGAACAGCTTCTAGCAAAACATATCACTACTCACAGAGGCCAAGAATAGAAAATATCACTTTTCTAAAGTGAATAGAGATGGGAACAGGACCCATTCTGTGGAACAAAAGTTTGGTTCCTGATGGTTAACAAAAATAAAAAATTCTTGAAGGAAAATGATGGGCTGCCCTACAAGCATGCTCTGGTATTTACTGTGGTAGGATTGTGCTGCAGATCATCTTCCCAGAGTATTATGGTTCCTTGACTTGTAAGAGGGGACTCCTGATCGAGATAAAAGAGGGTGGGTTTTCTTGTTTTGTTTTTTTTAAGGCAGATAAACAATGTACAGTATGTTATATTTAAATAAAAATAATAAAAAGCTGGGAATAGAGAATAAAAGTATTGTCCTTGATTGTTTTATTAGCCTGAGCTCATACTGCACAATAAAAACAAAAAAGAGAAAAGAGTCATGTATACTACAGGATGTGGTTTGGTGCTCTATAGCCCCAAAACAAAACAAAAAAAAATCATTAGAATATTTATAAGATTTCTTTAATTTTTTTCATGTGTGAGTTAGCTATCTTCACTCTAACAACAACCAAATGCTTTAGATTTTTCCTGTAAGTATCCAGGTCCACCTAGTTTATACAATGGAAAAGAAAAACCCAATGAATTTAAAACAAACATGTTTGCTGAAAGAATGAAGGGCTTTAGGAGGAAGAACATGAAGTCACATGTCTAAGTAAATATTAGATAAAGAAAAACACGTTGTATTTTGAAGTCTTTACCCAAGATTCTATAGTGTGTAAAGTTCAAGTCAGATTAGTAAGACACAGTAGTGCAAAAAAATTTTGCATGAAGGAAGAGT